TGGGCCGCTGCAGCAAGGACTCATACATAGGTACATGGGTCACCAGCTCTACCCACTGAGCTAACCGGGTGCCCAGCTGCTCTAATGTTTCAGTGCTGTTTTGTTTGTTCCATCCAAAGTAATGTTAAAGTGAAGATTTCTGACCTTTAAGACTAACTTCAAAACACTTGTCTCTACTCTCCCCTCAGGACAGGAGAGCTTTAACTCCCGCTCCCTGGCCCTGCAGGCCCAGAAAAAGATCCTGAGCAAGATGGCAACCATGGTGGTGGCCAACATGCTGACAGATGACACCAGCAGTGAGATCTTGGACGAGCTCTACAAGACGAGCCGGGAGTTCACCAAGAGCAAGAAGGAGGCCCACAAGATTATCAAGGACGTCATCAAGATCGCCCTGAAAATCGGCATCTTGTACCGAAACCACCAGTTCAGCCCAGACGAGCTGGACACAGTGGAGCGCTTCAAGAAGAAGATGAACCAGGCGGCCATGACGGCAGTGTCATTCTACGAGGTGGAGTACACCTTTGACAGGAATATTCTGTCAGAGCTCCTGCTGGAGTGCAGGGACCTGCTTCACGCCCTGGTCGAGCAGCACCTGACCGCTCGCTCACATGCACGCATCGATCACGTTTTCAACCATTTTGCCCACGGGGAGTTCCTGGCTGAGCTGTACGGGGACGGAGAGGAGTACAGACTCTCTCTGAGGAAGATCTGCAATGGCATCAACAAACTGTTGGACGAAGGAACGCTTTAACCTCCCACACATGACCTCTTTCATTTCTAGCTCGTTCTCCTCTTTCTCCTTCTCTCGCTGGTCTCTCCTGCCTCCCTCACCCTCACCTTCCTTTTCACTCTCTCACCTGTGACCGCTCACATGCTCTACCTTCTTTTTGCTCTCGTCTTCCTTGTTTCTTCATCATCCATTTACATGAAGCTAGTTGTAACATCCTGCTGCTGTGGTTCAATGAGGGAATTTTTTTAGACTGTCTTTCTACTCAGTGGATCATTGCTGCACACTGGGACAGCCTGTATCATGTTGTATGCATTATAGCATTCCAAGTCACCCCCTGTGTGCAAAGGTGTACTGTACCAATGGCCAAAAAACATACATTAGGTATATTTGGATATGAAAGATAATCAGTGGTAGTCATCAGTCTCTTTCTCTCTTTGTGTGTATGTGTGTGTGT